TATGTGGTGAGGGTGGATACCTATACTGTATGGTCTCAATGATGGAGTGTGGAAGATTGTCTTGATTTGATGGCTTAAGATATCCAATGAAAGAGAGAGATGGGCATATAGCTAGAGAGCATAGGAAAATGGAACTTCCAATGTGGATGAGATGAGATGAGATGAGATGAGATGAAGCATTGGGTGCATCAAACAGCTGGCCTTGGGCTTGTGGCTGTATGCGTGCAATTCCATTTGAGACCAAAGGCGGTTGCGTAAATGCAACACCTGGGCACGAGAGATTGGGATCCTGACTTTGAGCAAATTTTTTGCCATACAAGCCATGGAGCAAATGCTCTAGACAGCAGCACAATATGGATGGTGCTTCGATTGGGTTTGATTGTCCTCCAAGAACACATGGGCACCATGTGAGAGGGAAACTTGCTGGGCAATCAATGATGGGGATGGGGTCCATGGAATGCCTGGTGCAAACGGGGTTTGCGCATGATTAGGTGGCCCAATGGAAGATCAGAACCATTTGGGTACAACATTGGTTGCTCCTTATGATTCATGCTATTGGTAGGGCAATTTTTTAGCACAATCTATTGGTTTACTTTTGGGTGGGTGTTGGTGAGGCCCAATGAGGTTTTGAGCTTGGGTGGCATCGCGAGAATGTTTTTGGCAATGTTGGGTGAATATTGGGAGCATGCTGAGCACGCCAGGTTTGGTACAACCTGACTTCATGTATGTCTATGTGTGGGCAAGAAGGTTAGGGTGAAGAGAAGGTAGCCTTGGGAATGAGTAGTGGCCACACAGCCAATTCAGACCCTCAGTGTATCTAAGGCTGGATCATTCCATGGGCTTCATAAGATTCTTTGGAAGATTTTGTCATAGATGGGGGGATATGGAGCATAGATCTGAAGAGCCATTGGGTGAGAGCAGTGGAGATGAGCAGGATTGGTCCAATCGAACTTGTGGGATAGGATGTGAGCTCCCAAGTGACCCTGAGAATGAGGATGAGGCTTATTATGGGTATGGACGTCAAGAAGGCCACGCAAAACCCAATTCCAATCAGTCATCCAGGTCCAGTACTACTAAGCAAGTTTCTCAACTTTTGTTGGGCGTGGCGGGCACATTGTGTTTCAAGATAATGATCTTCTCTCCATTTCATAAAGAATGTGGAGGGAGAAGCCCAAAAAGTGCTACCTTTGAAACAATGAGAATGCTTATGGGCAAGGAAGGGTAGAGTTGGATCCAGAGGTTTTTTAAACAAAAAAAGTTGTTTTTGTTTAGGAAACAGGAGCACAAGAACATATCTAGACTATAACCATGGAAACTCTGACTAAACATGACAAAATCTAAGAAAAACACAACAAAAGCACGTAAAAACCACACCCGCATAACGTCGAGCTCTCTTTTTCAAGGGGGCGAAGCGAGGGAGCTTGGTGACTCAAAGTTGTACGCGGAGAGTTCGCGGCTTGCAGCAGACACTTGTAGAGCTTCGAGCATTTCCGTGTGACTATCCAACATGGCGAGCCCGGTGAAGAAGCAGCGCGTTGCACCAAAAGCGCAATCGGTCCCTGAGACCAAGGTGAAGGCGCGGCTGTTTTTGGTTGTGTTGCGTTTGTGGATGGTAGTTGTCAGTAGACATGTTGGGGTCTGCAGTCGGGGGTGAGTGTGGAGATTTAGCCATGGTTTTGGGAGTGGCAGCTGGCGTTAACAGGACATTGCAACCCTGCTGACGTTGGAGAAGAGCAAGTATGCCAACATCGCTCTCGAATTGGTGGTCGTCAAAGTGAGTGTATTGCGCACTGCAGCCAGCAAGCGGGTGTACGATGTGTCTTGGCGAGAGCAAGGGACTTGGGCAATTCCAGAGGACCTGGCATCGGTTCAATGTACCTTTGTTTGTCGGTAAGGGAGTCGAACAGATATGCGCAAGTGTTTCGTGGTTCGGTTGTCGGGGCTTGAGCAAGTTGCGATGTAACCTATATAGTAGACTAGCACCGGAAAGAGTCTAGTTTTGGGGGGCATCTTTTTGGTCAGTATTTGAGGGACACATGGGGTCATGAGGACGGAGAGGCAATGATGTGGAATATGTTGTAGCCGGAGGGGAGGTGGCAGAGCATGCGTGTTGTCGTGGGTTTCATTGTGGCTGGGAGGTGTTTCATTGTGGCTGGGGGGTGTTTCATTATGAGCCCTTGGGGCATGAGGTGACATTGGCAGACGCCGCCGGCGTGCTGTGCGGAACCTGAAGTGCATATCTCTCAGGCGGTCTTGCGAGAGGTGGCTGCAAATCCATTGGTGTTGAAGCTTGAGGGCACTGATGAGACGGTGCTGACATTGGAGGAGGAGGAGACCATTGCCATCAACCCATCGCCAGAGCTGGTCTGTGATGATTTCCAAGTGCCGTACATAAGGCCCGCCAGATTCGGGTTGCGGCAACCTGGCGCAGGAAACTACAGGTAGGTGACGGGAGGTAAGGAAGCTAGTGAGCGCACAGGATTTTCCATGGTTTTCAGAAACTTGATGGAGACTGTGGCTTGAAACGCTGTGCAGGAAAGCTACATTCATCTGCGAGGGTGGGTGAGTTCGGTGGGCACCATCCAACACGGTCGGGAGAAGAATTTGGCGTACCAGGACGGGAGGATTGATGCTGTGAAGTGCTTCTAAAACTTGGTAGCATTGTTCAAAGCCAGGTTGTGGATTAATATTGTAAGAAAAGTACCCTTGTTGGCCAAGTAGTGAGCCCGTCGTTTGATGCGGAAGCAGACAGAGAGAGAGACAGAGAGCGATATAGTTGTCCACGATGTAGTTCTCCAAATGCATGTGTTTTCACACATCGATTGGTAGAGCCTGCAAAGAAACATCGACTGACGTAAGTGTGCAATGCCGACGTGTCGATAGCGATCTGGTCATATATGTATGCGTCTATCTAACTGTATATACACGTGAGCGTATTGTACGGAGCTCATAGTGCTGCCCGTGTGCCCAGAAATTTGTGCCGGTCGCGCATGACACAAGTGCCGGGGACGAATCGCTTGAGGCGAGTAGAGCCGGGGGCACGGTAGCCACAGCCAAAGAAGTACCTACGAGATTCATTCTGCCAATGGTCGGCAAGTGCAGCAACTGGGAACAGCTGCGTGCCCCTTCCGCAGCAAGCATTTTATGAAGTGATAGTGTTCAGAAAGATGTCCTGCGTGCCAGGAAGGTGCGGAGATCACAGCTTAGTACCTGCAGAAGAACAAGAACAGCGAAGAAGACCGCGCTTTGGGCATTCAATTCCTCTTACCTGCTGAGGATGGCCACTGCTAAAAAGAAAGAAGTGGTGGCAATGGAGATCGAGTTGTATACAGCGAGCCCGTGCATAGATTGCGTACTGCAACCCTGCAGGGATTGTCAGACGATGGATTGCGCAGTAAGTCTCAGTAAGTGTGATCAGGTATCCCTGGAAAGCAATGGTTCACCGAGATGTGTTTGTGGGGGGGGCTGTGAGAGTTGTACACCCATGGATACAATATTTCATACACTCACATTGGGTGAGCATCGCTGTCTTGACCGGGTTTTTCAAGGACGCCGCACAAATCGAGAAGGCATTTTGCGCAGTTCGTCCGAAGCGTTCGAGACACTTCGCCAAGACAATTAATTGGCTCAAGCGCGCGCAAAATGTTGCAGCTCGTGCGTGGGAACTGTGGGCCGGCGAAGAGCGAAGGGTTAAAAGGAGAAGTGTACGAAGTGTTTACGTTCACGCTTTGTTCACATGAGGATTTTCATAGGTGGTGGCGGCGATGGTGGTGAAGCTAATTGCCACGTGGTGTTCGTTGGACCTATTGGTGCAGTACCGGCAAGCTGCTGGTACTCCAAGGACCTACCCAGCTCCATGTTGATGTTGTATTGACCTGCGAGTGTTTGTGCATCTCTGATAGGGACCACTGCAGTGATTGCAAGAAGCAAACGGAAGTCCAAGTTGAGAAGGACTGGGTTGGATTGCGGCCATGGCACTCATGGGTGAGATTGCCCAAAAGGAGAAGCGGTTGACACACCAGTGGTTTCATTTTGGTTGGAAACAGTGTTGCACTTCCCCACGATCCATGAAAGCACTCACCAAACACTAAGAGAGGACGGAAGAAAGGTTGTAAAAACAATCACAAAACCAAATGCTTCACTGGGCGGAGTTGTGCTATAGCTTCGACCATTGAAGACTCCGACTCGCTTCCATGGAATGGTGTCAAGTTTTGCTTTCATTGTGCTTCTCGATGATCATTCATGGTTGATTCTATTCGTGAACTTGGGCTATTGAATAGTTCGATTGATCGGTGGATTTTTTGTTTGAAGAATAGATACTGTTGCGTTTGACAGCTAGAGCTGAGGGACTGAATTGTCACTCAATCCAGGGAACTGCACTACCATGCGGCTCCGAATTATCTCTTTTTGTTTTCGGGGTGTGAACCGGGCCCCCAGAATCTCTAACGTTGCTTTCGGAAGCCGTAAAAGAAGTTGGTGAAGCAGCTTCAGGAGGCCAGGCCGCAGCCTCAAACAAGCCTCCCCTATAGTGGCTTGATACCGCCCCGAACACTCGGCGCCGCCACGGCTTTCCCCGGACACTCGGCGCCGCCGCCGCAGGCCCTGTAGCCCTGGACAGCGAAACACCATCCGTGAGCGCCAACCGCTCAGTGCGCCCCCAGACATCAAGACCGTGCTCGGACCCTCCACACCATATGGACTCGCACCTTCTCTCACACGCTCCCCTTGCAGCCGCAAGGGGTCGGCGGATATGATATAATGATAATGGGTAGTGATCCAGTGCCAAAGAAGCAGTGGAAGAAGAGCATGAGTGTATTGTCACACTCTAGATGACCACTGTTCGATGAAATTTGGGTGGAATGCCCAGGAGCAGACTGTGTCCATGCGCATATCCGCCGATACCATGGACTGTACACTTGCGCTCTACCGATTGTGTTTCTCCGAATAATGCAGTTTTACATGTCACCAAAGCGGGCGTTTGGGGCAATGCTGCCATGCAGGTCAAATCTGAGTTGCAGACTGGCGCCCCCAATGCAATGTTCATATCATCCAATCCAACCGCGGCGATCACAACACTGCAGCCTGCCAGCAGTAAAATGCATGATAGTACGTGGATTTGCTTAACACCAGTGTGGGAGCTCCAAGCAAGTCTGAGCAGATTTGCACATTCTACTCATAGTAGACATGAAAGTATTTTGTGAGTTGTGAAAGGCGGTCAATATTGGCAATATGCTGCAGTGGGCCTGCTGTTCTTTGAACATGGTGAGGCACACGCCGACGATGAAGTTCTTGAACTCTGCACCAGCAAATGCAAGGCTTCCTGAGATGGTGCAGAAGTTACCAGGTGGGTTGAAGTTGGTTGGCTGCCGCAGTTCCCTGGAAACGGTTCAAGCATGCATAGAAAGACTGAATCGGTGCCATACATATTAGAAGGACTTTAATTCATTGTTGGCATCAGAACACTGTTTTTTCCTGAGTGATTGAAACTAGTCAGTAGCTAGAGGAAACTGTGCTTGTGTTCTTTGTTAACCAAAAATTATTTAACCTGCCCTGCCGACAAGCATTAAGACATAGGTACGACATGACAAGGCATCAAAAATTTAATCCAAATGATGCAGTTCGGAACAGTTCGTACGGATGACACACTTGTGGCAACACCAAAGTGTTGCAGCGCCTTGAGTGTTCATCCCCAGGACATCTTCAATCTATTTGTGTGTTGGGTGATTCCACTCTTCTGGAGCTATTGCAGCTGCGACCAGCTGAACAACTTGAGATCATTTGCACCTCAAAGACGGACCTACCAAAGGAACCTCGGTTGGCACACATTGAGCTTCACGGGCACAGATTCTACTTTCGTTCTGAAAAACAGTTTGACCAAAACCTTCCCATTGAGGAGCACGAACATTGATCATTTTCGATGATCAACCAGTTTTTGTGAACTGGCCACACCGTTTGAGTTGCTAGATTTGCACCGCTAGATGGTGGACAAGCCCCAGATGCTGGAATCTAGAAGTAGCAACTAAACTTTTTTGCCTGACTTCCTTTCAGAAGGCTGCGGTTTTCTCAGCAACCAGGATCCGAAGGTCTTGGACTATGCCGCTGAGTGACTTGGTGAATCTAATCCAGGAACTGCTCCCCCGAGCGAAATTGTTGAAATCACTGAAATAACCCTTGTATACCCTTGTGATATCTTGTGATCCTTTGTGCAATTCTGGGTCCTAGAGTCCTAGCTGTTCATTGACGTGCTGATTTTGGAGATCGTTCCAATAGCTTACGGGTTGCAGACTACTAAGTAGGTCCAGGTATTGGGCTCCCCGCGGTCGCGGTGATATATCAGTTTATAAGGCTTCGTCCGTATAGCTACTCACTCTGCGACTGACACCTCAGGAGTCCTTTTTGTTCTGGTTCTCTTGCACGGCCAATGGTTTGACAAGAATCCTCAGCAACCCTTGGTCCTTTCATGTTTAGTAAATTAGCTGAAAACTGCGACTCTTTGTCCTTGAATCCTTGGTGCCTCGCTGGGCCAGGGAATAAAGCAACAGCTATTTGTTTGTTCCAATTGAAGTCAATATGATAGAATCAGATTCATATCGAAAAATATGCAATGCTCGCAAACAGATGTGTACAAGCCTAGCTAAGGCCTTGGCTGGGGCTGTACGGAAAGAACGTTGCTGATTTGGTGCATGATCCCTCTGGCTATTTTTGGGCAGGGGGTTGGAGGGTGCAAACGCCTCAGCGACTGATCCTTGGATTTTCATCATTATTTGTTTGTGCATTTCATTTGTACCTTTTTTTGCCCTGTGTTGCGCTTACGCAAAAGGCAGCACCTCTTTCGAAACAGACCACCTGGAGCCTCATTTGTCACTTGTAGCAAACTTTAGCAAAGTATTGGATGCCCCAGGATTCCTTTCAAGGAAGCCCGTCATGCTCACCTATGCCGCAGTAGTCCATGTGACTTCAACAGTGACCTGCGAGAGGTAACACTGCTGAGGAGTTTCGATTTCTCGGAGGAAAACACGGAGTGATTCGAGAGAACAGACGGCCAAGATCTGCAAGGAATCGTAGGGACCACCCGATTGTTCAAGGGCAGAGCACTGCGGGCTTTGAAGCCAGCACAAGCCAAGAGCGAGAAATCTCACAGACCCTCCTTCGTGAATGCCAAAGTCAGAGTTGCTCCATTCAGAGCTTGCAATTCTCAGACTACAGTATATATATATATATAATCATACATATGACATGTGTGTATATATGTATAATTCTACACTGGTATGTAAGATGACTCTCTCCCTCTCTCTATACAGCAATTCTGCATGTACTGGATGTAGACATTGGGGGCTGTGGCTGGTAGATGGCAGGTTATGGCCACAATGAGGAGTCAGAAGAGATGCGCGAGGCCCGATGCGAACTCTCGGCTCAGAGGCATGAAGGCATGAAGCAAACAGAAATCAAACCGAAACCCGTCGGCTTAATCTTGGAAGGATTCACATTCTTCCAAATTTGTATGGCAGCTGGTGATTTGTGGAGTTTTGCAGATGCGGGTAACCCAAAACAATATTTATCAACATGCCATAGATGTGTCCAAACTCACAACGAGTTCCAAAGACTAAAGAGACCCAGCACTCAGACCTTGTTGTTGCTCTTTCTGTTGAGCTGTGTTGGCATCAGCCCTTTTTGTGCTTCTTGACAGGACGTGAAGTCACTTCAGAAGAACACACTTGAGTGTAGCACTCAGTGAGGGTCTGCAATCCTCGTAATGTCAAACTTTATTCCAATATGTTTCAAGGATTCAGAATCATCATGAGCAATGATTCCGATTGCAGCACAAGCTCATCAGAAATTGAACTTATCCAAACAGAGCCATCGCCTCAGGCTTTGCCGAAAGATGAAGGCAGTGCCCAATGTTGTACAGGAGTACCCGCAGTGAGAGAACTCAAATCGCTCCGATGCTTACCAGAGTTATCCTTAGACCGTGCAGTTGTGTTTCCAGCCCCATATACAGTAGATACTAGGGGGTCATTGTATGGATATTAGATAGGTATTGCAGATGCATATTGTAGAGCTTTGCAAACGGGTGATGCCATAAGGGTTGTTGTCGCTGCCCCTGTTGTTGTTGTTGTTGCTGCTGTTGCTGTTGCTGTTGTTGTTGTTGTTGTTGTCGTTTGTCATCGGTCTTGTTGGGGCAAAAAAAAGACGGAATTTACTACCTGCTTTTTCCATTGGGGACACAAACACAATGTGAATATCATTGTTTTTGATCCTCAGCAAGCAAACACATGGTATTTACGATTGTTTTTTTTCTCCGTGGGATGCAACAACAATGAAACAATGGCTTTTCCAGTGCTTCTTATATGTTTGCTGCCAAGCACGCCGATATTTACGCGGTCTTGAGCATGTTGCTAGCTAGCAGTATGTTTTTCATTCAACAATAGCAAGAACACTGTAGCGTTGCAAACGTTGATCCAACATTGATAAAACAATGATCCAAAATCGACCTCCGGAAGCAACTTTAAAATAGCTTGTATATGAGGCCGCGGCCAAGGCTGATATTCGTTTTTGAGGATGTGTCGGACTGGAAGGGGTAGAAAAGGTTTGGCACCGGTAGAGGCGGATTTGGGATGCATTTTGGAGCAGAATAGCATTGCGGAAAGCCGTGGCGGCGTGAGGTTTTTTCAGGTGTTCTTGGAGGCAGTTGGGCTGGGTCACAGAGAAAGGGTGAGAGGTTCATAGAGGCAGTGGGGATGGGTCGGATTGTATCGGGTACAGTATCAAGGAATGTTTAGGGGATTCAAAACCTCGGTTGTGCAACCCGTATACTGTAACACTTCTTGCTACCCCTTGCAATCCAACCCATCCCCACTGCCTTCAAGAACCCAACTGCCTCGGATATATGTGTATATATATATATATGTATACACATAATTACTGTGTATATATATACATATATACATACTATATATATAGATAAACCGTCTATGCCTCAACATGATCCAGGTGAATGGCTACACTTGGGACACGACAAAAAGCGGCTGAAGATGGACTTTCGATAGAGCATGACTGCGTACAGCTATATTTGGCAGAGGGCAACGCAAAACCTGCGATTCAATCCGACACGGGCAACGGCGATGCTTCACTGAACACATGCAGTATACGTCAAAACCCGGAGCCCGTTTCACCCTTGTAGGTTGACCTCCTTTGTGGTCTATTCTCTTCATATTCCCTGGTCTGTGAATACATACAGCAAGCAACAAACATGTTGGTAACTGTAACTAAACACACTTCATGATATGCATGGCTACTGCCTATAGTATCTATAGTGATGCATTGTCGAGGGCGTCTCTTTGCGCAGGAGCTCAGGAACTTCCAAGATCGAGAGAGCCGACCTGCTGCCATGATTCAGCCACATCCCTGAAGTGACCAGAACCTGGTCCCAAAAGGTCTGAAGGGGTTCCGGGTCAAAAGACACAGGAAAAGGTCAATACGAACAAGAAAGACAGCTGCCGGGGGACAAGCAAAACGAGAGACCAACGGCCAAGTTGGCTCCACTTGCGGAGAATCAGAGGAGTTTTTCGGGATTTTGTTTTGAGCATGCATCCAGCACCATCCTCGAATAGCTATAATGACTCATACATGTTTTGCATTGCCCTGATTTGACCAAGGTTCCTCAAAACTTTGGCAGACATGCAGGAATTGACCCTGAAGCGTTGACACCTTAGTGGAATGCAAAATGCAGGTAAAGGGTGAGTAGTCAGTCCCGTTTTGACTTTGTCCTGGCGGGCTCAATTTATGTTTCTGATAGGGCTTGCAGGCAAGAATGTGCAAAAGTTCTGTTTGGGTGCGCAGCAGACCGGCATTTCCCAGACCCCTGAGACAGCTTCAGTATTCTCAGCATATTGTTTCCTTCATTCAGCAAATTGTTGCACCAGCAGCTCATATACTGTGTAACTTATACAGCGATATACTGTACGTCAATCATTCATTCATCATATTTTATCAAGGTCAGCCAGTCATCTTGAGCCGTAAGGGGAATCCTGCATTGTCGTACCTCGTGTACAAAACTCATTCTACCTACTGTTTTGGCTGCTTGCAGGTCTGAGTACCACGGTGGAGGAAGAAAAAAGTAGACAGGAGCTTCTAGAGTGCTGGCCTCAGCCCTTCCCTTGGGTTAGGGGGATGAACAATCATTCCGATAATTTATATTCATGCCTTGAGCCAGATCGATAGAAGTACCCAACACTCTTTCGATTGAATGTTTCTTACCGAAACAACAAGCGTACCAGACACATCGGAGCATGTGGCGACGAGAAGATTTACTCACAAGAAGACCTGTGGAAGAGGGCAACATCCTGCTTACGGTGTATATTCTACCAAGTTGGAACAGGGCCATCGCTCAAGATTGTTCTCAGAGGACCACGCTGTTTCTTTCTTCTCACTAGGCACTACAAAAGCCGGGAAGCGGAGGACGGAGACATGGAGGGCAGAATCGCTTTGTCACCTTGCATTCCTTTTGCACACCAAACCGACCTTTCCACAGCTTTTGACCATTGTGATGAGGGCGTCGTGCCAAAATGACTAGTGACTAGGGTTCACCAGAGTGAGGCATGAGTCATGCATGAACATTTTTCCCCACCTGTCAGGTGAGGGTTGTTAGATTTTACGTCAGCCCCATCTCCTCCTCCTCCCCCTCCTCCTCCTTCTCCTTCTCCTCCACGTCCTTCTCCTCCGCCCTCAACCACGACCATCCACGACCAGTGTTCCCTGCCGGACCTCAACTGCGAGCTCCAGGCCCAAGTGTTCCCTGCCGGACCTCAACCACAACACACAAACACAACCACAATCACAACCACAACCACAAAGACACAACCACATACACACAACCACATACACACAACCACAACCACAATCACAAACACAACCACAAAGACACAACCACTTACACACAATCACATACACACAACCACAAACACACAACCACAATCACACAACCACACAACCACAATCACAAACACAACCACAAAGACACAACCACATACACACAACCACAAACACAACCACAAACACACAACCAACCACAAACACACAAGCACAAACACACAAGCACAAACACACGACCACAAACACACCACCACAAACACACACCCACAAACACACCACCACAAACACAACCACAAAGACACAACCACATACACACAACCACAAACACAACCACAAACACACAACCACAAACACAAGCACAAACACACAAGCACAAACACACAACCACAAACACAAGCACAAACACACAACCACAAACACACAACCACATACACACGACCAGCAACACAATCACAAACACGCAACCACAAACACACAACCACAAGTACAACCACAGACACAATCACAAACACACTACCAACACAAGCACAAATACGCAACCACAAACACACAACCACCAACACAGTCACAAACACGCAATTACAAACACAATCACAAACACACAACCACAAGCACAACCACAAACACAATCACAAATTGAACCACAAAAACACAACCACAAACACAATCACAAACACAACCACAAACACACAATCACAAACACACAATCACAAACACAACCACAAACACAACCCGACAAACCCCCAACCACAAACACCATCACAAACACACAACCACAAACACAGCCACAATCACAAACACCCAATGACAAGCACACAACCACTAACACAACCACAGCCACAACGACAAAGACGCAACCACAAGCACAAACGCAACGACAAACACACGACCACAAACACAATCACCAACACACAACCACAAACACACAACCACAACACACAACCACAACACACAACCACAACTCACAATTACAATCACAACACAATCACAGCACACAACCACAACGCGCAACCGGAGCATCTGAGTTGTATTATTAGTTGGGCACGGGTCTCCTGATGAAAGCATTCGCTTCGGACAAAACAGTAAGACTTGGCGCTGAAGGACTTGTGTTATGGGCTGAAATACGGCCTGAAATACACAACGATGGTGATGTCAACGTGGCAGTTTTGAAATGTCATGGTGGGGATCACTCGAAGTAAAGTAACTTTTGTGAATCGTTTCTACTTGATTCTTCGGATGGAAGACTTGAAGTTTTATTGGAAGATCCTGACTAGGCCAGTGCTCGGC